CCCAGATGTATTCGTCCCTGCCGCTGATCACTCCACGTCGAAGCAAAAAAAGCGCATTTCTCCAAAGCCTCCCCAAGCATGCGACTCGCTCCCATGTAGGAGGCAAGAAAATGAGAGCGAGAGGGAAGACAACGGAACACTTTGGATGAAGCACTTAAACCCTACGGCGATCTTGAAAAAAAGCATCCTAAAAAAACCCAACCCCCTGCAGGGTCTTTAACCAACTCTCTAAGCCCATGATGGAGTCGCGACAGAATCCTAGGCTCCTAAAGTCTGAAGCCCGCTTTGCTCTGAGAGGTTGGGAGCTCTGCTCCCGGGATCTCCACGCAGCGACTCGGTGGCCTTGAAAGATGCCATCGGTGGAGAGGCCGTTTCTTCTTGGCGAACGCTCCAGGAACGTTTGGGTCTTTTGTTTTGAATTATAGGCTTAAGGGGGATTAGGGGACTTGCCGCAGTCGTGGGCTTGCTGCAGAGCAGAGCCCCAAAGCCCCTCGCAGGCCCGAATCAAATCAACCCCTGGGCGCACTTTTCACACCACCCTGCCTCAGCCTCTCCTTGTGCAAGCCCCGATATCTAACTTGTCACTTCTGCACCGCTTTGCGATTCAGACCTTCGTTCGCAGCTGCAGCGCGCTGAACAACGAGGGCCTCGTCGTAGGCCGGGGCGTGGTAGGGTTTAGAGTGCAGGGCTGATCGCCCACGCAGGAGAGGGTTCGGGGTGTATGAATGGTCAGTACAGGCTTCGAAGACCCCGAGCCAAGAGATTCGAAGTCTGCAGGTCGTAGCGAGCATAGCTTTTTGTGGTGTCGTATAGGAAGGAGCGCTCGTGAAGTCCAAGCACCTTGGAAGGGTCAAGCCGGAAGCGGGACGTCTGGATGCACAGGCTTACAGCCGTACCAGTCACACCTGCTCCTCTGCAGCTTTCGATGAGGAAGGCTTAGCCCGCGGTGGAGTGTTTCGGTGGGGGCAAGCTTCAGTGACTCAGTTGCCGCAGATGGAATGGAAAAAGTGCGTGTGCCTGCCCAAGCGTGTATTGCAAGGCACGCGCGAGGGGAGCTTTCCGTGTGTGTGTGTGTGTGTGTGTGTGTGTGGGTGGGTGCGTGGGTGCGTGCGTGGGGGGGTGGGGGGGTGGGTGGGTGGGTGGGTGGGGTGGGGGGGGGGGGGGGGGGGGGTGGG